ACTGTACAATACAATATACTGTACAATGCAGTATACTGTACAATGTAATGTACGGTGTACTACAATCTACTGTACAATTTAATATACTCTACGATGTAATATACTGTATAATACAACATGCATCGGACCTCAAACTCGTCGTCGTTGGACATGCCATAGTTCAAGTCGACTTGTGGGCACTGCAGCAGAAATTCCACGAGCGCCTGGTGCCCACCCTTGCACGCCAGACAGAATCCCTAAGTCAATTTGTCACTAAATCATCATCTGGTCACTAAATCTTGAAACTTGGTACCGGATTCAGGTCACTGCGATTGATCGCAGGCTGCCTCAGCAGTTTCTTGACGACGCCGAGCTGGTTGGCTTCGCACGCGGCCATCAGCGCACTGTAGCTGAACTGGCCATGCAGCATGAAGCGAATGAGGCGATGGATGGACATGGAAGTAGGTGTACCGCGTTCTTGTAGTTGATGTCCAACGTCGGCTCGGCCAAGAGGCGATCCAGGTGGAGATTCAACACACATGCAAGGATCAGGGGTGTCATGCCGTTCTATCTCGCTTAGTGACGCACGGACGTAGACTTGAGTGAGAGATACCTGGGTTTCAAAGTTCACGTTGGTCTGTATTCGCGTGGGACTGTCAAGGTGGTTGAGGAAGTCCAGCACCAAATCGTGTTCAATGTCGTCCCCAAATACAGTTGCCGCTTGCAACTATACAGCAGCATGTGATATACCCTTCATAGACATGTATCTCATAGTTACGCCAGTTTGGCCCTCTAGTGGATCCGCCGTGGAATACGACGCATTCGGGCGCAGACACATGCGAGATGTAATGAACTAATTCGATTATACGGATCCAACCCAAAGTCAACCAGATGAAACATTATCCGGATGATACGACTCCGAGTTTTTGTCACATTACGTTGTCCGGATGTAGATATATTTCCGTGGGATGCAGATCGTCAGTAACGTTACTATTGTTGGAATATTTTACCGGATAGTAATAGTACTCGTATCAGTCGGTCAGCATAACAGTGTACCCGGCCGGTACACTGATTGGTTTACTATCAGCCTACTAGTACTGTAGTAGTACTACTTCTACTCATGACAGCTTGCAAATCGCCGCTGACTCATAGTCAATTCGGTGCAGACTAGAATTTTCACAGCATTCAAATGTCCATGTTTGGATGACAATGTAAATGCTCTCGACGAGCACCCCTCGCTCCGATGTCCACGTAGCCCCCCGACAACGTCCACGCGGTCGTGCTTGTCTCTTTCGATTTGCATAGAATGTCTTCTAAATCTCGTACTTCGTTCAACGCAATAGGCAATTTATTCTTCCAAGTGGACGCTCAGAGGTCACGTAATCGCACCAGTTTCAACTGTCTATTATGAAGACGTGCCTTACGTGCCGTGACTGCGATGCCAGTAGTATCCCTTGTTGGACCTGGTGGTCCGTGAGTTCCTCAACTACTGCATTGTTCCTTTCCACGTTCTCGGGATGGGACTTGCAGCTTAGTGTGTTGAGCGGTGCTTTGTCTATTTTTTTTGCGGCCTCGATCACCACTACACTGTAACCGTGTCAATATCATACAGGGGCATTGGGGTTTCTTGGTCCTTCATTTGAAATACTAGTACGTCGAGCGTTATCGCCTCTATATTTAGCTAGGGGATTGGTTCAATGTATGTTGTCTTGCGCCGGTGTTCGCAACCGACGACTACCGTGTTCACAACGGTGACCTCGATGACAAATCCAAAAGTAACTTTATTATCCAGTCCATAAGTCAGTTCCCTCCTATCACTTCACTACTCTTTCTACCAGTCATGCATCATACAGTGTACCATCAGCTCGGAACATATGCCGCTCCGATCCAGGGCATATTTCACACTCTTCAAATGTCGTTCGTGACCAACATTCGGCTACCCACACTCAGGCACGGGGAGTCGAACAGAGGCTCGGCCGATAACAGTACTGTACATGTATTTCTGCATCGACGAGTGAGTGGGTGGTGGAGGGTACCATGGCCATTCGGAAGACATCATCCAGTGATTGCATGCAAATCGATGGCTGGGGTGCGACGCGGGTTCTCTTGTGTCGCCACATGGGGAGGGTGCTTGTGTTCATATACTATTAATACTAACTGTATGTATTGTGCTTTTCACATATTTTGGCTAATCTGGGTATAAATACCCGCTTTTAACCAGTGGGTGACGAAGTTTTAGATTAATTCAACTTAGTTTTAGCTAATCGGAAGTACCTATGATTGGATGAGCAATGGCTGTTCCTGCAGCATATGTTGCTAACCTGAAGCGTTTGCCCATTTCATTTCGGCAAACGCGGGGGTTTA